TTTGTGTACTCAGATTTGGATGCTGATCAATTAGATTTGTCTAGTTTCTTTGGATGTTGATTTTTTGGATGTTGATCAATATTTTTTATAAATTATATTATTTTCATTATAGGATGTTTCATTCAAATATTGAAGCAGACATGGTTGAAAGGAAGATGCAGTTTGTCATAACTTTATCTATATGGTGTTGAAAAATAGACTATTATATGAAAAACGACAGTTCTGCGTTTAAAACGACAACATGCCATTTGGGTTATAGGACTAAAGTGTTCTCCTAAAGTGCACCAAAATGTGCTATGATTTGTGTGCCCTAAATCGCAGTCATACTTGTAACAGGATCGCATGTACTGAATGAATACACGTGATTTTTTGTATACCGTATACCTTAAATGGCACCCATTAGAGTAAAACGTCAATATGTCGTTTTGGGTCAAGGAGTCTCGAATTCATTCCAAAACTAGTGAATTAGTGTTGAAATATCTTAAAAACACTGTACGTCGAAAAATTGTAGTATAGGTTTAAACCCTATACCCTAAGCCCCATACCCTAAACCCTAAACTACAACCAATTCTCAGCATCGTATGGCCCATGTTTCATTTTGGAGGCTGAGCTCAGAGCCATACTAGATGGGCTTCTATTGGCCAGAGGACTTGGGATATCAACTATTTGGATTGAGGTAGATTCAATGCTGGCCATTCACTGCATCACAAAAGGTGGAGGACCATGGACGATTTAGGGTATTCTAAGACAAATCAGAGACTTCATTTGCCTTGACAGAGACACAGTTTTTCACATCTACAGAGAAGGTAACCAGGTTGCAGATAGGGCTGGGCAAAACCTAACCCAACCCGCTCAACCCGATCAACCCAAACCTTGGGTTGGTTTTTTAAGTTCAATTCGGGTTGGTTTGGGTTGGTTTTTTAAGTTCAATTGGGTTGGGTTGGGTTGAAAAAATATTTTTGAGGTTGGGTTGGGTTGGGTTTCGGGTTATGATTTAAACAATCGCAGTCATACTTGTAACAGGATCGCATGTACTGAATGAATACACGTGATTTTTTGTATACCGTATACCTTAAATGGCACCCATTAGAGTAAAACGTCAATATGTCGTTTTGGGTCAAGGAGTCTCGAATTCATTCCAAAACTAGTGAATTAGTGTTGAAATATCTTAAAAACACTGTACGTCGAAAAATTGTAGTATAGGTTTAAACCCTATACCCTAAAAAAAAAACCCTAAACTACAACCATACGTTTGAAACGCCCAGCTGCCGTTTTGGGTCCGGGGGTACTGATTTCATTTCGAAAGTAGCGCAACGATGTTTGCGACATGATACACGTTCGGGACACGTTGAACGTCTACATGTGCTATGATTTGCTTGCCACGCTTTCCCCTTAGGTCGTTCTTCATTGTTAAGCGGAGTGTAGTGTAGTGTAGTCGGTGGGACTATAGACAAACTCACTATAGTTCGGACAAATGCGTCGATCGTAACGACGAAATGTAATTCGAACCTTCGTCGTTCAATTTTCAAGTGCTTACGAGCTTCATTGCACCAAATGGACACGAAATAAGTAAAAACGTCGCCCATACGTTTGAAACGCCCAGCTGCCGTTTTGGGTCCAGAGCTACCGGTTTCACTCCGAAAGTAGCGGAACGATGTTTAGGACATGATACACGTCCGGGACATGTTGAACGTCTACATGTTCTATGATTTGCTTACCCCACTTTCCCCTTAGGTCGTTCTTCATTGTTAAGCGGAGTGTAGAGTAGTGTAGTCGGTGGGACTATAGACAAACTCACTATAGTTCGGACAAATGCGTCGATCGCAACGACGAAATGTAATTCGAACCTTCGTCGTTCAATTTTCAAGTGCTTACGAGCTTCATTGCACCAAATGGACACGAAATGAGTAAAAACGTCGCCCATACGTTTGAAACGCCCAACTGCCGTTTTGGGTCTAGAGGTACCGGTTTCACTCCGAAAGTAGCGGAATGATGTTTAGGACATGATACACGTCCGGGACATGTTGAACATCTACATGTGCTATGATTTGCTTGCCACACTTTCCCCTTAGGTCGTTCTTCATTGTTAAGCGGAGTGTAGTGTAGTGTAGTCGGTGGGACTATAGACAAACTCACTATAGTTCGGACAAATACGTCGATCGTAACGACGAAATGTAATTCGAACCTTCGTCGTTCAATTTTCAAGTGCTTACGAGCTTCATTGCACCAAATGGACACGAAATGAGTAAAAACGTCGCCCATACGTTTGAAACGCCCAGCTGCCGTTTTGGGTCCAGAGGTACCGGTTTCACTCCGAAAGTAGCGCATGATACACGTCCGGGACACGTTGAACGTCTACATGTGCTATGATTTGCACACTTTCCCCTTAGGTCGTTCTTCATTGTTAAGCGGAGTGTAGTGTAGTGTAGTCGGTGGGACTATAGACAAACTCACTATAGTTCGGACAAATGCGTCGATCGTAACGACGAAATGTAATTCGAACCTTCGTCGTTCAATTTTCAAGTGCTTACGAGCTTCATTGCACCAAATGGACAAGAAATGAGTAAAAACGTCGTCCATACGTTTGAAACGCCCAGATGCAGTTTTGGGTCCAGAGGTACCGGTTTCACTCCGAAAGTAGCGGAACGATGTTTAGGACATGATACACGTCCGGGACACGTTGAACATCTACATGTGCTATGATTTTCTTGCCACGCTTTCCCCTTAGGTCGTTCTTCATTGTTAAGCGGAGTGTAGTGTAGTGTAGTCGGTGGGACTATAGACAAACTCACTATAGTTCGGACAAATGCGTCGATCGTAACGACGAAATGTAATTCGAACTTTCGTCGTTCAATTTTCAAGTGCTTACGAGCTTCATTGCACCAAATGAACAAGAAATGAGTAAAAACGTCGTCCATACGTTTGAAACGCCCAGATGCAGTTTTGGGTCCAGAGGTACCGGTTTCACTCCGAAAGTAGCGGAACGATGTTTAGGACATGATACACGTCCGGGACACGTTGAACGTCTACATGTGCTATGATTTGCTTGCCACGCTTTCCCCTTAGGTCGTTCTTCATTGTTAAGCGGAGTGTAGTGTAGTGTAGTCGGTGGGACTATAGACAAACTCACTATAGTTCGGACAAATGTGTCGATCGTAACGACGAAATGTAATTCGAACCTTCGTCGTTCAATTTTCAAGTGCTTACGAGCTTCATTGCACAAATGGACACGAAATGAGTAAAAACGTCGCCCAAACGTTTGAAACGCCCAGCTGCCGTTTTGGGTCCAGAGGTACCGATTTCACTTCGAAAGTAGCGCAACGATGTTTGGGACATGATACACGTTCGGGACACGTTGAACGTCTACACGTGCTACGATTTGCATATCACACTTTCCCCTTAGGTCGTTCTTCATTATCAAGCGGAGTGTAGTGTAGTGTAGTCGGTGGGACTATAGACAAACTCACTATAATTCGGACAAATGCGTCGATCGTAACGACGAAATGTAATTCGAACCTTCGTCCTTCAATTTTCAAGTGCTTACGAGCGTCATTGCACCAAATGGACACGAAATGAGTAGAAACGTCGCCCATAAGTTTGAAACGCCCAGATGCCGTTTTGGCTAAACAAACAGTGCTGCTGTCATTTTTATCAGAATCTGACTTACAAATCTATTTTAATTGATCAAAATATATCACAATGTAAAGATTAAATAAATGATTAACATCCATCCGTCCGTAACAAACGTGAATGAACAAAAATGAACACGAAATGAGTAGACATAACACCCATACATTTAAAATGACCTGATGCCATTTTGGTCTGAACAAATTGTGATGCTGTCATATTTATCAAAAATTTGTCTGAAGTAGCTATCATACTTTGTCAGACAACTATCACAATATATCAAAAATTATCATAATCTTTTATAATTTCAAGATTATGTTAAACAAAAAATGTTCTATGCATCTGTCAACTAGTGTAGAGCATTTTTACAAGTCAGACGATTATGGCCCCTCTGGCCACACCTACTACATTTACGAGTCTTTTTTCCCTATCCTCTTGATGGAATTTGACGATTTTTTGGACGTCCACTTTGTCTTCGATTCGAAAGGGGTGGTAACACCTTTGGCTGATTGGAGATTTCCCAGTCAGCCTCATTTGCCACTGGATATATACATTCA